TCTTTCCTTACTTTGGCTATTGTTGATAGTGCTGCTAGAAACATTGGGTTGCATGTATCCCTTGGATAAATACCTAGTAGTGCAATTGCTGGGTTGTGGGGTAGTTCTGTTTTTAGTTTTTTTGAGGAACCTCCATACTGTTTTACAGAGTGGCTGCACTAGCTTGCATTCCCAACATTTTATAGATTTTTAAATCCAACTTTTAATACCAGCTTTGAGAACTTACAGCTTCTTGCCACAACATAAAAAAAAAAAAGGAAGATACTTTCTGAAAAATAACTGTGCTATGTAAGATATTGTTAGTCTAAAAAATTTCAATACAAAATTACAAAAATTGTTGAAATTTTGTCTCTTATATGTTTTGAATTGACCTTTTTCAGGCATATCTTTACCACAAACTTTTGTCAGCTGAAAACATCTTATGCAAGTTGGTAATCTTTAGCAGTATAAAAAAATGTGTTTTTCTTGAAATTTTGGGAAGATAGAAATAGAAACAGTGTAGTTTTCTAGTCTTTTGAAACATCCCTATAAGAATAGAGAAGCTAGGACAGAAAAACGTAAAACTCACAGACAATATCTATAACAAAACCGGGTGACAAGGTTTCCCACGAAACCTTGAAACAAGTGAATGAGGACAAACTAATGACCGTTACAAGAGCCACATAGTGTTAGCCTCTAGGTTAGAGGACATAAGGGGACATTGATAAACCTAGGAAGAGGAGAAGACTCCAATCTCCAAAGCCTCCAAATCAATGAGAAGCAGAATGGACCAATACAAGAACAGCTGAAATTGTGAGGGCTTTTTGCCATCCAAATCTCTGAGAATCACAAGGGATCCCCCTACAATAAGGTATGAAGGACTTGACTAATACAGTCAAGGCTCTATAAATCCTGGAGGTACTATCTGAAGCCCCCTTGGGTAAATTAGGAGAAACTGCTGGGAAGAGACTCTAATACCCAGAGCAGATGAGTATAGGTAAAGTTTCAGAAAGAGGAGAAGAGATCTCAGAAAGTATGAGGTCATAATTTTGAATGCTTCATGAAAATAATCAGAAAGTCAAGAGACTTTGAAACTAAAAGATATCCTGACCCATCGTTCTGTCAAAAAGGTTAAGAAAACCAACTTTGCTTAAAAATAAATAGCAACAGACAGGTGTCTGCATTAATTGCAATACAAAATGATTATAAGAGCACAGAAAATTAGCATGTCAGGAGGGTGTGCCCACAAAACAGATGAAAGCATTACACAATCTGCAGAATATTGAAATTAATATTACTTAATACTAAAATTAAGAACATCATAAAGGAGAGAGAAAATATAAGTCAAAAGTAAAAAAAAACAAAAAACAAAAAAAGACCTCATAGTGCATGTAACTGCACACCCCAAAGAAGAAAATCAAAGCAATGAAAGCAATGGAAGAAAACAGATATGGGTACAAAGCATTCTAATTCAGGAAAACATTCCTGAAAGCAAAATGAAAAAGACTTAAGTTAAAAGAAAGACTCCTTAAAAAAAAAAAAGAATGAAAAGAAAGATTCCTTGTCCATATCCATGCAAAAAGAGCAAGTCGTGTATTTGGAATAGAAAGCCAGATGGAGAGAGAGGAGGGGGCAGAAGGACGGGCGAAGAATGAGGAGCTTCATGTAAAAAGAGAATAAGAGACGCATGTAACCAGTCAAACTGTGTGGACCTTATTTGGATGCTGATTCAAACAATTTTTAACATGTCCAAGACAATTGGATATTTGAAACACTGCGGTTTTGAAAATATTAAGGAATTGTAATTTATAGGTATGATGATGGCATTGTAGTTATGAGTTTTAAAAGATCCTTTTTTTTTTAGAGAAAACTCCTTATTTATAATGAAATTATGTGATGTCTGATACTTCAAAATTAAAAAAAGAGAATGGAAAATAATTGATTGGATAAATAAAACAGCATTGGCCACGAATTAATAATTATTGAAGCTGTGTAGCAATTACACAGGATGGTTCATGGTATGTTGCCTAGTTGGTATATGTTTAACACATTTCTCAATACAAAGTTTAAAAAGAATTTTTTTTGTCCTCAAATAGGATGGACAGTTCAAGCCAAGGCAAGATAAATGTTTTTCATTTTCTTAAACCCAAAATTTCTAGAGTATCAGCTTATGGAAATATTTCCCCTGGTGTTATGCTAGCCTGTTGGGGCTGTTTAGATGTATCTTCCTTAACATTAACTTAATTAAACTGTTTTCACATCTACTCCACTGAATGCATATGTCTGAGAAGCATTTCATGGTTATTAGTATTATTATTTTTTTTTAGGATTGTGGAAAAGGGATATTATAGTGAACGAGATGCTGCAGATGCTGTTAAACAAATCCTGGAGGCAGTTGCTGTAAGTATGAAGTGACAGCAGTAGTGTAACTTTTGGTAAACTTTTCTTCTTACGGAATCATCAGTTAACTAGTGTACATCTGTGGCCAGCCGTAACATTTACAACAAAACAGTATGAAATACTTTGTAGAATATATGTTGATAAATGTATATTTTCTATTGATTACTCCCTGAGAGATGCAATCCTCCTGTATAATACCATAAGTTTGTTAAAATAATTTCCATTATTATGAAATCCAATCAGACTTTGGTGCTGGTGCCTATACTTGTTCTCTTCTCTTTCTTTCCATTTCTTGAGTTTGTTTCCTTATTGTTTTTGTTATTGTGCAGGGAAGTGGAGGAAGGTTGAATGTGACAAATATAGATCTTGGAGCATAGAGATTATTGATTTTTCTTTCAAGACAAGTAATAAGTGAATTAAAGTTAAAAATACTGACAATTGTATTTTTTAAAGGAAAAATATAAGTTAATGTTTCTAACTAGAATAAAGTTTTGAAAGTTGATGATAGAAACATGCATACACATTTACAGAAATATGTAATTTTAAGAAGCTTGTTTGGATTGAATTAATAAGGAAACATTTGCCTAGATGAAACAGACTCCACTGATGAAATTTTTCCCATATGTTTAATGGTGTCTGATATGTGCTGGAACACTTTGGTGATTATTCGTTTATTGAATATAAAGTCAGAACAAATTACTCTCTGAACAAACAGGATGAAGCCCAAGCGGAGATATTTATCAGCATTAAAGAGACAAATCTATAAAATATACTCAGAATTAAGATATATTCTATTGTGTGGAGTCAATTATCTAACTAAAATCATCATTCAGTATCTTGAGAAATCAACCACAGTGACAAGATCACATGTCCTGTGAATTTTACCCCAACCAAAACAGAAAGGAGGGAAGGAGGGAAGGAAGCCAAGGAGGGAGAGAAGAAGGAAAGGAAGTAGGAAGGACTCTGATATCTAACTAGCTTGTCTATCATTGATGAAAAGGAAAAACAGTCTTCACAATCTCCACAGGACTCCTAGAGATAGCAGATCTGTGGTCTGACCAAATCCATGATTGAGCTGTCAACACCAAGTTCAATTGGATATATAGCCCAGTCTTTCCAAATTATTCCTTCCTATACAAGTGTTTTGGTCTTTTTGCTGTGGTAGGGTATGAAAAGTTTGAAGGTGGAGAGGATACCCTGGAATTTTACTCTAAATATACAGTGCAGTTCCTGATTATATGAATATTTTATTTCAAATTCATCCTCTTACCATACCCCAAATAACCCCTCCACTCCAGAGTTTTCATCACACGCAGTATAGTTACCATCCCTGGTTTCTTAAGCTTGCCAGCTTGGGAATGATTTTTAACTCTTCCATTACCTTCTCTCCTCATACCCACCTTTCCAACTTCAGTGGGGTCTTCCTTCTACTGCCCCTGAACCTAATCCTGCTCCCTACCATGCGATGACTGCTCCTGAGTGCTTTATTAAACAAACAAGCAAACAAACAACCACTTCTAGTTACTTCCAGTTCCTGTCATTAAATATATAAGTCTAGAATTCTCTTTTTCAGTCCTTGTTTTCATCTTGTTACTTCTGAGTTCAATAATGGCAATTATTTGTAATTTAAATTTTTAATTTTTTTTTTATTTTTTTAAAAATTTAATTAATTTTTAAAGTTCCATTTAATTTTGAGAGAGAGAGAGTGCGAGCGAGCAGGGAAGGGGCAGAGAGGGAGACGCAGAATCCGAAGCAGACTCCAGGCTCTGAGCTGTCAGCACAGAGCCTGACATGGTGTTTGAACTCATGAACCACAAGATCATGCCCTGAGCTGAAGTCAGATGCTCAACCAACTGAGCCACTCAGGCGTCCTTATGCCTTTCTTAAATACCCATTTAAAAACTTCGTTTCTCATTACTATATAAGATAGATTATCTATTCAAATAAACGTGCTGGCAGTGGCCCACTGTCAATTTATCCAAATCACGCAGGCAGCTGGTATAGCAGTTAAGAGGACTTAAGGAGTCAGAGCTTGGTTCAGTTTCTAGATATGTGAGCTTGGGCCCTATCACTAAACACTTCTGAGCCTCAGTTTCCTCATGTAAAATGGGCATAATATTTAACCTAACAGAGTAGTAGAAAAGACTAAATAAGCTGATAGCAATGTTCAAAAGAGAGGGAAAAGGGCAAGCAACTTCAGACTCAGTATATTCGTATAAAGATGTATTAGATGTTGAAAATCTATACGTACATCCCTACTCCCCAGCTAAGTAGTAAAATCAAAAACAATTGACAATAGTCAGTGCTCAATAAATATTTACCAACTAAATAACTGAAAATGCATCAAAATAGAAATAGTCACTATTCTGTGTTTTGTCTTTCTAGATGCTGATAGATTTAGTGAAACATGCTTACTATCATTTTTCTGCTCATTTCATATGAAACAAACCTTTCTTTATAACTTGCTTCCATTCATGAGATTCTTTTCTGCTCCCTTACTATCATTTAATTCTTTTCCCGTCATTCAAAATGCACCTTCTTCAATATGTTCTTTCTGGCTGCTTCCATCCATTTAGGTCAGCGCTTGATTCTTTTGGTTTATCACAGTGGGCATGCTTCAATTTAGTGATACTCAGGTAGCTGACTGAGAGAGCTCTGTCCTTATTCAGCGAATGAGAAATGAATGCTTTCATCATCAGACTTTTTCCACCTATTGGAGTTACACCAATTAAGGAATAAAAGGGCCCCCAACAGGGAGGGATGCCCCAGATAGGGGTACCTCACATAGAAAAGAGGGCCTAGACTTCAACTGTATTCCAGATCTTGCAAGATGGATTGATTAGTCTACTACTAATTGTCAATTTAAAGCAAACAAACAAAAAACTTGTTATTCTATCTACTCAGAAAGCTCCAGTTTGAGAACTTACCGAGCAAAGGCGGGGGGAGGGGGGGGACAAAAAGAGAAAGAGGCACGCTGAGAAACAGACTCTTAACTCCAGAGAACAAACTGATGGTTACCGGAGGGGAGGTTTGTGGGGAGATGGGTTAAATAGGTGTTGGGGATTAAGGAGTGCACTTGTTGTGATGACCCCCAGATGATGTATGGAACTATTGAACCACTATACTGTATACCTGAAACTAGTATTACACTGTATGTTAACTAACTGGAGTTTAAATAAAAACTTACATAATAAAAAAAAGTACTAAATAAAGAAATAAGTAAGAGCAAAAAAAAAGTAGATTGCCACATTCAAGTCACTCTTTGAAAGAAGTTTTACAAAAATTTTCTCTGATTGCTAAAACTAAAGATTAACTTAGAGAAAAAAATAATAATTTTCCTAAATGTTTCCACAGGTAGAATAAGCAAGCAATTTAAAACTTATGGGAAGTGGCTGACATTTATGAAATAGTTTATTGTCAACTACATAGCTATAGATAGCTATAAAAATAGGACAGTTGGGAACTCAAAGTAATCAGTGATACATCTCACATTTCCTCTGGATCACACACTTAGAAGACTATATCTAGGCTGGCTTTTGAAAGCACAGAAGCAGAAAGCTTGAAGATTGAAAAGTTCTTGGGAAATATGTTGTGTGGATAATTATACCTCTTAGGTAACAAATCTCACAATCCTTCCCTTCCTCCCCACTTCATCCCAATTCTTGCCCCAAATATTTCACAGTATTTGTCTGACTGTAATCTTGCTCCTTCTGCTTTTTAGCTTTAAATAGAATTTATGAAAGCTTTTAAAGTGAATGTGAAAGATGTTTCCCTCTTTGAGTTTGAATTCATCCAGTTAGTCTTTGAGGGCAGATCATTAAGCCTTCTTGAGTATTCTATCTTCCTGAAATGAATTCCAGGTAGTCCCAAATTAGATGGTCTAGGTCAGTCTGGACAGTTTGGAAGGGTCATCACGTCCTCATATGTCAGAAAGCACAATGCCAAGTCTTAAAGCCCTCCTTTTCCATTTACTTACAAGATAATCAGGGAATAGTCCAACACCTCTGATGTCTCTTACTGTTGCCACCATCTCCAGTCCTTTTCTTGTTCTCCCTGATATCCTACTGTCCCTCTATTTCCAAAAAGAATTACTGTCTCCTTTTTGCCCCACTCCTGATGCCACTTTCCATCTTTTTTCTAGCCACAACTCTCTTAGGTATGTCTTAGTTTCAAAGCCATGATTTGAGCCCCTGGAGAAACTTGTACATATAGAGTATATATTGAATTTAATAAAATAAAAGGAAATGGTTGAGGAACTTAAACATGTCTGCTGCCCTAGTACATAGATTTGGGGTTAGAATTATTTTGAAGATTGTGATAATAGGGGTAAAGAGTTGCAAACAAAAGCATCTAACCTTTTAAAGTTGTGGAAACCAAAATGATATCTGAACATTGAAGTAAAACAGGAAGTGGACGTGAAAAAGATGAAATATTCCAGGATTCTTGTGGTAAAAATTTTTAAAACCTATAACCTCCCCTAAAAAAGGACAGATTTTTAGGGGTTGATTGTGCACACATCCCTGCCTGGAAGGATTATCAAGGCAAAGAGGATTTCAAAAAATGACATCTAGTTAATTGTTCTTCTCAGGATTGAGATGAGTGTGTTCACTATTGCAAAAGCTGGTTGAAGTGTCATGGACATGATGTGACTGAGTAGATGTGGTCTGATTCTTGTTTGATGACCTCAGATTATAGTCATTACAGATTTATTCATAGCTATTCTGTCAGGTTTCTGTTGATTAGGGCACAAGATTGACAGATTCATTGACTTTGGAGCAGGGGAACTGGCTAATCTTAAGTAAGGGTGGGAAATATTGTCTAGTTATATGATGGTGGTATCCAAAAACACAAAAAGGAAATAATGTAACAAAGAGGAATACTCACAGTGTCCTTATGAGGTCAGCAAAGGCATGGATTGTGTCTGTCTCTATACATGACCTATTAAGATTAATGTGAATAAAAAGAGAGAGAGAAATAGGGGAATTCAGGCTATAAGGGAA